GACGTGTGGACAGCATCCAGGACACCACCAAAGATTTTCTGAGAGCTCTGACAGCTGCTGATCTCGGAGTTGGGATTTTCCTGGTCCTGCCAATGACATTTGCTGCTTTCTACCAGGACTGGCCTTTTGGTAATGTACTGTGTGGACTGCAGGCCTTTCTCGCACCCACCATCTGCTGTCTCTCTCCGGTATATCTGCTCATGTTGACAGTAGATCGTTACATTTCAGTGGTTCATGCACTCCGCTACCCTTCACTTGTAACTGTGAAACGGGCGCGAATTGCTGTCGTGTCTGTTTTACTGGCTCTTTTGTTGATATCAATTGGATCCAGCTTTGTGGCAGATTGGGTCTTTAGTTACAGTCCAGTAGTATTTTTGTGTGCTTTTGTTGATCTGAACAAAAGACTTTCGACCTTAAAGTTTATGCAAGTGATATTTTCATGCACAACAGTATCTGCTCTACTCACAATTCTGTTAACATACATCAAACTCTTTCTGATTTCCCGACATCATGAACGGCGCATCCATGCTGACAATCCAGCTGCCGTTGAAGGTAATCCACCTCCAAGACCCAACAATAAGATGCTTCACACGTTACTCATCATTGTACTGAGTGCATTCATCCTCAACCTCTTGCCCCTTTTGTGGCTCATTCTAGGCCACTTCGGTGACCACATTGGGACATTTTTCGTGCTTATGCTGCCCATTCTTACAAACGGTTGGTTGAACATGGTCATCTATTTCTTCAGGAACAAGGACATCCGACAAGCAACCAGAAGCCTTCTGATGACTTACTTCACTTTTTTGCAGCAGCGTTTTTTGTGCATCTCAAATTGAACAAAGAGATCAGTATTCAGCATTTGCTGACATTTACAATCTCTTTTAACATTGAATTCGAATGATTGCCCGAAAAATCAATTAATATTGCTCAGTGGCGCACCCAAGGGGGGGGGGCTCGGGTAGCTTGAGCTGAGCCCCCCCCCCCCCAAGAGATTGTCAATTATTTTTATTTTTTGGGGGGGGGGGAATTTCTTTTTTAGTCCCACGATTTGTCCTTGGTGATATGAATGTGGCCTGTTTTCGAGTAGTATAATAGGGGTGTAAGTGGAGCCACCAACGTCAAAATAGGCTGCCCCTCCAAAAAAAATTTGGCCAATTTTTTTTGAAATTGTTTTTACTTTTAACAAATTTGTAAAAAAAAAAAATTAAGCCCCCCCCCCCCCAAACCAAATCCTGGGTGCGCCACTGATATTGCTGTACAAGAACAGGCTTCTTGTCAACTCACTGTAACTAAGGAAGAGAGAAGAGGGTGTGGGATGGGGGAATGGTGAACACTCGAGCATCATTGATACCATACAGGGTTATTGCTGACTCCATGGGTGTGTGTCCATTTGAATACAGTTGTGCATATACCGTACTCTCCATGAAAAAGTGGAAGCATTTTGTGTATGGCCATTTAAATACAGTTATGCGTACTCCCCATGAAAAAGTAGAGTCATTTGGTGTGTCCCACACCCTGGAGCTCTCATGAGTGAGTCATGAAGAGCCATCTTCTCTTCTTTCACAACGTTCATAGTTCAAATGTGATAATTTTCCTGAAAGAAAGAAAAAACATAAGACAATTCGGGCGATTCACAATGCAGTGCGCCACCAAGAGTTTGCCATGGAGAGTCAACTTTTCAAGTTTATGGTTGACAATATATGGCCCATTTGAATGATAACTTGAGCTATTTTGTTTACAGATATAGGGGCATAGCGTTCTGCCGCCTTACAAAAAATCACCATATTGATACAAAGAAAAGAAAAGGGCAAACACTTGAATCATACGCTTCAAAACTACTGACCGGAAAAAACGAACAATTTCAAATGTCCCGCGCTGCGATTTTGTCGACCATCTCCCACAATGCACTGGGAAAAATGAACTCTCCGTGGCAAACTATTGGTGGCACTCTGCATTGTGAATTGCCCGAATTACTCTACAAAAATTGTTTTATCTGGCCATATTTTAGAGCTTATTTTTCGCATCATTATTTTAATGTCTGGCTTTACATTGGATTAGTTGTCAAAGCATTCACTATTTGAGCTTTTATGGTAACAACTGAATTTCTGTATGAATAGCATTTATTTGTATTGCAAGCAGAATATCCATTACCAATTATCCATTGAATTAATTTTGCTGTATTGTATTTTGCTTCTTAGTATAATTTACATTATCCATGTTGCGACAGCAAATCATTGTTCTAGATGTTGAATCGGCAAACAATTGAACGTACATTGTTTGAAGGATCTATAACGTATAACCAACTACTAGTGTTGTACCCAATCCTGCGGTTGTCACAAGAAAGTATGTCTATTTTATTTTTCCGGTGCTTTTGGGGGTCTGATGCGCATTGCTTGTAAGAGCTAGAAAATGAAGCGCAGTTAATGCAAGTTGCTTATACTCATATCAGCCAAATGGTGATGTTGGGCAGAATATAAATGCCAGGTTGCCGCATGTAAGCAAGTTTGTCAACTGATTGATGGCTGTTTGTTTGTAAAAGGTAGAAAATTGACTGCAAAAGGTAGAAAATTGAAAGCAGTTAATATGCTCTTATAATAGTTTTTATATGCTCATATATCAATCAATTAACTGCTTCAAAGTGATTGAAAACTAATATTACGTTTTGATTGCAAAGGGGGCTCTATGTGTTCTTAAGGTTAGAGAACAACTGATGCATGATGTAAAGTTGTTGACCTTGGTATGTGTGTTGCAGTCTCGCTGTTTGTACCGATTTGAAGGTTGCATGCAGGCAGAAAGTGATCTTGCATATTAACCAATCAATGCTGAAAGAGATCAGTGTCATCCAATCAGAAGCCCAGGCAACACAACAGCAGATCAGTAATTAATTTCAACAATTTATGTATGACGTATTATCTTGCCGCCAGGCAGCGTCCAGTTTAACAGAGCGTAGACCGTTGATGACATGTTGTTTATGTGTTACATGATGTGATGACATGTTGTTGATGTTTTGCAAGACGAAATATATTCTGTTCCTTCAGTAAGAGAACATGTGAGCAGGAATCTGATTGGTCTTAAAGTTACCAAAAGCCTGAGGCGTGTGGACAGCTTCCAGGACACCACCAATGTCTTTCTGAGAGCTCTGACAGCTGCCGCTCTTGGAGTTGGGATAGGGGTCTTGGCCCTGCCGATGACATTTGCTACTTTCTACCAGGCCTGGCCTTTTGGTGATGCTTTGTGTGGATTGCAGGCCTTTCTCCTATCTACCATCTTCTATTTCTCTCCTATTTATCTGCTCATGTTGACAGTAGATCGTTACATTTCAGTGGTTCATGCACTACGCTACCCTTCACTTGTAACTGTGAAACGGGCATGAATTGCTGTCGTGTCATTTGCTCTGCTAACAATTCTGATAACGTACGTCAGGTTCTTTCTGATATCCCGACATCACCAACGGCACATCCATGCTGTCAATCCACTTACCTAAATACAACAACAAATTGCCGAAACAACCAACTGTGATTGATGTGCTGTAAATGCAATGCAAGAGTAATCAAACCTATAATTGTGTTTTCTGTTAGAATGAACAAAAGTTATTCATCTCCACGCACGCACTTGTGTGTAATTTGTGGGAAATGAAGTGAAATGCTCATTTACTGATTATCCATTCAGGGTTGAAGTGTATCAATTTAAAACATGTAGTTTTGAACACAACATTAGACATTGCCGTGTAGAAATTCAATCCGTCAAGTGTTTGGAGGTTTGTGTACCAATATTGATGCGCCAAGCAGGCATCATTGCATTTGGTGGATTATGTAATTATTTCAAGGTTTTCTTCCTCTGTATGAAATGACCAGTTGGTTTGCCCCATAATTACATGTATGCTTTCATTGTGTAGTACATATGTAAATAAGTCTTCTATCAAGAAGAAGATTGCAGTGTGCTTTGCCTCTTCCTCAGTCTTGTTTTTCTAAGGTATATTTGCTCGTAAAGGCAGTGAGTTGGCATGCAACAGATCATATACCGCGACAGTGAAAGATATTGTTTATGTTCTTCTCAGCTCTTACAAATGTAGGTCGCATTGGTTAAATTGTGAATACTAGAATGCCAAACGCTGTGTACTGTGCCAGTGCGTTAGGAAACAATTGGCGTCGGGCAGAGTGGCTGTTTACTTAGATTTGAAGGTTGCCATGCATGCAGGAGCAAGACCTAGTTATTGCACTTTAAGCAATCAACATTGAAAGGGATCTGTGTTAACCAATCAGAGGCTTACAAAAGACATCTGCATGTAAAAAATTAAGTGACCATAATTTTTGGATGACGCATCTCTTGCCACCAAGCCACACCTAGTTTACTGATGTTTTAGCAGCTTAACAATAGCTGGTTTTGCACTGGCGATTTTAGGTACTGGCATGAAATTTATGGACGTTGGCGACTACAACTTTTCAACAGCAGACAGTGTCAGAAACAGCTATAAGATTGATCAGTACATCATTCTTGTGATTACAACGATTCTCCTTTTGACACTGATCAACTTTGTCTTCTTGTACTGAGACATGTGGATTGCATCCAGGATACCACCACAGTCTTTCTGAGAGCTCTGACAGCTGCTGTTCTGGGAGGCTGACACAAAACATCTGCATGTGAACAATTAATGACCAAAAATGTTAAGCTGACGCATCGTCTTGCCACCAGGTGACACCTAGTTTACTGATGTTTTGTCAGCTTAAAAATAACTTTTGTTACTTAGTACAGGAGATTAGATACGGACAGGAAAATGATCAGTCGCAAATTTGCCACCTCTTCAGATTTTGTTTTACCCGTTCCACCATGCATTCAATTAGAGATTTTACGGATCTCAGAGACTAAACTTTTTCAACAACACCCGTTTTGGCAGAAATTTCATCCTATCCTGTGTTAAGAGAAAATGTGAACAGGAATTGGAAATCCCAAATTTGCCACGACTTCCGAGCATAGGTTTGAGTTACTGTAGCCTTGCCACAATGAGTTCTACTCCAAATGTTACGGATCTAGGAGACTACAATTTTTCAAGTACACCGGCATCAACAGATGGTGTAGCAGACAGCCTTAGAATTGTCCAGTGTATCCTTCTTGTAACAACGATTTTCCTTTTGACACTGAACCCACTTTGCCTTCTGGTACTGAGACGTGTGGACAGCATCCAAGACACCACCAAAGTCTTTCTCAGAGCTCTGATAGCTGCCAATCTTGGAGTTGGGATTTTCCTGGCCCTGCCTATGACATTTGCTGCTTTCAACGAGGACTGGCCTTTTGGCGATACATTGTGTGGATTGCAAGCCTTTCTCCTATCTACCATCATCTATTCTCCTCCTGCATCTCTGCTCATGTTGACAGTAGATCGTTACATTTCAGTGGTTCATGCACTCCGCTACCCTTCACTTGTAACTGTGAATCGGACACGAATTGCTGTCATGTCTGTTTTGGGGGCACTTTTGCTGATAGGAATTGGATACAACTTTGTGGGAGAATGGCACTTTGTGTACAGGCACACATTTCTTTTTTGTGTGTGTACTAATGACAAAGCAGGAAATTTGACCTTGCCATTCATTCAAGTGACATTTTCATGCATAGTATCATTTGCTCTGCTAACAATACTGATAACGTACATCAGACTCTTCCTGATTTCCCGACATCATGAACGGCGCATCCATGCCAACAATCCAGCTGCCCTTGAAGGTAATCCACTTCCGAGACCCGGCACTAAGACACTTCACACGTTGCTCATCATTGTACTGAGTGCATTCATCTTCAATCTCCTACCACTTTTGTGGATCGTACTCGGTGATGTTAATATGGACCCCTTGGTAAACTTTTTCATGTTTGACCTGCCCGTTCTTACTAACAGTTGGTTGAATGTGGTCATCTATTTCTTCAGGAACAAGGACGTCCGACAAGCAACCAGAAATCTGCTGAGAACTTACTTCACACTTTTGCAGCAGCATTTTCCATTTACATGTACTTGCGACACAAGTTGAACCAAAAGATTAAATCTGTAACATTTGAAATCTAATCTTACTATTTATTTTGTTGTTGCAAATCGTTTCTTTTTCCTTTGATACTTTCAGTTTTCTCAAAGCACATCACACACTTGACTTCTCATTGTGTTCTTATAATAAGGAATATCTTAACAGTAGAGCGAGCTGTTTTGAAGTTACACAGCCATACACGTAACTACTTGCTCTATCGCGCAGAAAACTTTAAAAAAAATTAAGCGATCTGAGTGAGGACATTTTCTTTTCATATGCACGATTGTATACCTAATGATATTAGGCCAAAGAAAAAAATGTTCTGCGTCCGATTACATGGCATTTGGAAATAGGGTAGGTAGGTAGGTAGGGACATTTGGGAGGGGGGGTTAATTTTTTTTTTGAACGATCATATGGAGGTGTTTGCGTGTAGTCAAGGGTAAACGGTAGTAATGGATGATTTTCATTTTTTTTCCCCCTCATTTTTCCCTCCAAAAATTAGGGTAGGGTCTGTCAGAATAGGGTAGGTAGGGTAACCGGAAGCAGAACTATTTTTTTTGGCCTTAGATGGAATAGAACTTTGATTGATGTGCTGTAAATGCAACACACGACTACACAAACCTGTAGTTGCATTTTTTGTGAAAAGTTATTAATTTCCACGCACACACTTGTGTGTAATTTGTTGGAAATAAAATGAAATGCTCATTTACTGATTATCCATTCAGGGTTGTAGCGTATCAATTTAATACATTTAGTTTTAAATACAAACACAGACGCAGCTGTGTAAACATTTAATCTGTCAAGTGTTTGTAGGTTTGTGTACCAATAATGATGCGCCAAGCATCAATTAAGTAATTTCATATAGCTCTATAGTTTAGACTCACTGATATACAGAATTTTGTGAATTAATCACTTCAAGGTTTCCTTCATCTGTATAAAATTATCATTTGGTATATCCATCATAAAGGCATGCATTGTGTGTGTCGATGTCAGTTTGTCCTCTATCAAGAAGAATGCAGCGCACTTTGGCTCTTGGTGAGTCTTGTTTTTCAAAGGTATATTACTTATATAGGCAGCGAATTGGCATGTATCAGTTTGTATACCGAAAAGAGATTGTTTATGTTCCTTTCAGCTCTCAGGTCGCGTTGTTTAAAATGTAAATACTATATTGCCAAATTGTATGCCAATGAGGTTGGAAACAATTGGCGTCAGGCAGAGTGGCGGTTTACGCAGATCTGATGCAGGTTGCCATGCATGCGCAAGGAAGACCTGTTATTGCGTTTATTGCAAGTATTGAAGGATCTGCGTTAACCAATCAGATGCGGACACAAGACATCTGTATGGAAAAAAATCAACTGACCATATAAATTTTGGATGACACCCAGTTTACTGTTGTTTTAGCAGCTTAAAAATAACTGGTTTTGTACAAGAGTTTAGATACTGGCACAAAACTGATCATTCCCACTTCTGTACCCTTTCCACGATGAATTCTACTCCAAATTTTATGGATGCTGGCAACTCCAATTTTTCAACTACACTGGCATCAACAGACAATGTAGCAGACAGCATTAGGATTGTCCAGTGTATCCTTCTTGTCCTGACAACGATTCTTCTTTTGACACTGAACCCACTTTGTCTTCTCGTACTGAGACGTGTGGACAGCATCCAGGACACCACCAAAGATTTTCTGAGAGCTCTGACAGTTGCTGATCTCGGAGTTGGGATTTTCCTGGTCCTGCCAATGACATTTGCTGCTTTCTACCAGGACTGGCCTTTTGGTAATGCACTGTGTGGACTGCAGGCCTTTCTCACACCAACCATCTGCTGTCTCTCTCCTGTATATCTGCTCATGTTGACAGTAGATCGTTACATTTCAGTGGTTCATGCACTCCGCTACCCTTCACTTGTAACTGTGAAGCGGGCACGAATTGCTGTCATGTCTGTGTTTGCAGCTCTAACCAGAAACAGAACTTTTTTTTTTGCCTTAGATGGAATAGAACTTTGATTGATGTGCTGTAAATGCAACGCACGAGTACACAAACCTGTAGTTGCATTTTCTGTTAGAATGAACAAAAGTTATTAATTTCCACATACGCACTTGTGTTTTATTTTGTTGGAAATGAAATGAAATGCTCATTCACTGATTTTTCATTCAGGGTTGACGTAGCGTATCAATTTAATACATTTAGTTTTCAATACAAACACAGACATAGCCATGTAAAAATTTAATCAGTCAAGTGTTCGTAGGTCTGTGTACCAAAATTGATGCACCAAGCAGGCTTCATTGTAATTGGTGGGTAAAGTAATTTCACGTTTCACTCACAAAGGCAGCGAGTTGGCATGGAACAGTTCGTATACCACAACAGTGAAAGAGGTTGTTTATGTTCTTCTTGGCCGTTAGGCCGCGTTGGTTAAAATGTAAATACTACATTGCCAAATTGTATGCCAATGAGGTTGGAAACGATTGGCGTCAGGCAGAGTGGCGGTTTACTCAGATCTGATGCAGGTATGCTGTGCATGCGCAAGGAAGACCTGTTATTGTGTTTATTGCAAGTATTGAAGGATCTGCGTTAACCAATCAGATGCGGACACAAGACATCTGCATGTAAAAAAATCAACCGACCACAATTTTTTGGATGAAGCATCCTCTTGCCACCTGATGACACCTACAGCTGTAGTTTACTGTTGTTTTAGCAGCTTAAAAATAACTGGTTTTGTACAAGAGATTAGATACTGGCACAAAACTGATCATTCCCATAACTGATCATTCCCACTTCCACAATGAATTCTACTGTGAATTCTACGGATGCTGGCAACTACAATTTTTCAACTACACTGGCATCAACAGACAATGTAGCAGACAGCATTAGGATTGTCCAGTGTATCATTCTTGTCCTGACAACGAGTCTCCTTTTGACACTGAACCCACTTTGTCTTCTCGTACTGAGACATGTGGACAGCATCCAGGACACCACCAAAGTCTTTCTGAGAGCTCTGACAGCTGCTGATCTCGGAGTTGGGATTTTCTTCGCTTTGCCAATGACATTTGCTGCTTTCTACCAGGCCTGGCCTTTTGGCAATGCTTTGTGTGGATTCCAAGCCTTTATCTCACCCACCATCTCCTCTCTCCCTCCTGTATCTCTGCTCATGTTGACAGTCGATCGTTACATTTCAGTGGTTCATGCACTCCGCTACCCTTCACTTGTAACTGTGAAACGGGCACGAATTGCTGTCATGTCTGTTGTTGCAGCTCTTTTGTTGATATCAATTGGATACAACTCCGTGGCAGAATGGCACTTCTATTACATGCCAGGAATTTTTTTTTGTTCTGTTTTTCATCCGAAGCTAGGATACTTAAACGTGGTGTTCTTCCAGGTGATATATTCATGTACAATGCTATCTGCTGTACTCACAATTCTGGTAACTTACATCAGACTTTTTCTGATTTCTCGACATCATCAACGGCGCATCCATGCTGGCAATCCAGCTGCCCTTGAAGGTAATCCACCTCCGAGACCCAACAATAAAATGCTGCACACGTTGCTCATGATTGTACTGAGTGCATTCATCTTCAACCTTTTGCCACTTTTGTACGTTATTCTTGGTGCATCTTTGTATGCAAATCACTTGGTAACATTTTTCATGCTCGCATTGCCCTCTTATACAAACAGTTGGTTGAACATGATCATCTATTTCTTCAGGAACAAGGACATTCGACAAGCTATCAGAAATCTGCTTACAACTTACTACACATTTTTGCAGCAGCATTTTACATGCAACTCAAATTGAAAGAAGAGATCGAATGAGCACAATTCTAATTCAATCTCTTTTAACTTTGAGTTACTACACATGTACATGTATGGTTCACTTGGTAAACCATGCATCCCTCATCTTACTTGGCATCACCTATGGACTCCACAATTAACGTTGGAATGAGCTTCATTACTGCAATACGTTTGCGTTAACGGCATTCCTAATACTGTGGCTTTGTGTACATTCAAATGAACATTTGCCATGCAAACAACCAGTGAAAATTGAAAGCATGCAGTTTGTCTTAAACATTGGAGCTGTCATGAGTTGGCCACATAGTGTCATCGAGATGTACTGTAGCTACACAGTGACTTTAGTTCACTGATGAAGACTTTGGACTAATTTGGCAGCATTTGCTGTTGTTTGAAGTTTTTTTTTTATTCCATGTATACAAGGAAGAATGTTGTTATCTCCCTGTAGGCAAAGAAGAACAGAGATAAAACAATCTCTTTTGAATGTTCTGAACGACTTTATTTGAAGATGGGCAATTTTGTAAAATCCAACATACCGTACGTGCAACCACATAATGTACATGTACATGGTCGTTAAAGGCGGTGGTACCTTAGTTTGGGCTTTAATAATTGTTTTCTACCTATTAAATGTCACACTATTAGTGATATATCAATTCACTTTTCCAAAAGCAGCTCATTAGAGTGTCAGACATGTACATCCGAATTAGGGGAATTGCCCAGATACATGTGTGCAATGTATGTACGGTAGGACAATTTCAACTAGGGAATGTCAAACTTTTTAAACTGTTAAATTTTTTTCAATAAGGGAAAAATAATGTGCTTGAACGTTTGAAATAAGTACCTATAAACTAGCTTGGTGCCTGGTTGCAGGTAATGTCTCTCACTATCAACGACAAGGCCCCAAGCCGTTTGAAACAACTTGTTTAAAACAGCCAAGCACATATTTATCATTCCCATTCATCAATACCTATTCGGTCAAAAAGTCAAAATAACTCAAAAATTGACAAAATTTCATCGATTTTTGTCAACAATTTTGTCTCATGTTTTGTTTAACACCCATCTGGCCGTATTTATGGTGTGTGTGTGTCTGAGATTGGCGTGCATGCGGCGTGGCACAGAATGGAGCACTGTTTTTACAGGTGGTCTAAAACCACCCACGTAGGTTGGTCGTCCAATACCATTACAGCTATCTTTGGGGTCGTGCATTTGGTGCACAGGGATATTTAT